CTTTGTGTCTTTTTCATTGTAGCTGAAGTCCGGGACAAACTGTGTTCCTTTTCAGCTCACCCACCCAGCTGTATAGAAACTCCGTCATGCTAGCTAGCACGCAGTACGAAAAAGTCAGCATAACGAAAATAAACTCCACCTAAACTTGGTTCATATCTGACCCAGATGGACTGCAGGTCATAACTTCTTACCTGAAGTTCAGTTCACCTGACACTCTCGGACCAGCGGCCGCTTCGGGTCTCTCCTCTTGCCTCCCTTTTCCTTCATCCACCTCCTGGCTTCCACCACTTGCTAATGTTATTGAATCTGTGGAAGCTCCGCGATAGCCACCAAACGAAGTAACGAATAACGAGCCTATCTAAATCCCAGTAACGAGTAACGCGTTCCTGGTTTTGGCATAATAACTAGTTACCGTGCGCGTTACCACAATAATAACGTAGTTACTGTAACGCGTTACTTAATAACGCGTTAGTCCCAACACTGGAGATGACCTATATACAACAAGAGGATAGTTATCAATCTGTTATGGTGTGGTTTCCATTACTTTCTCTGTGAAAGTTCTAAAATCCACTGGAAGTTTAACCAGTCTGAGAATGATTCTTTTGGAAGTATTCAAATAAATGCACAGTAGGTTTCAAACAAAGAAAAACAAAAATGCCCTGCACATGAAGTGACGAGGGGGAGGGGGCTAGCAAAAAATGTTTGGGAACCACTGCCTTAGTGTATCTGAAACAACATATGTAATGATGGTGATTTGGAACTGTTTCAGTGACAAGGAATCACTATGAAAGCTGTTATTGTTTACCTGTTTCCAGGAATGGTTCCAAAATCTTCCTCCTTCACATTAACTAGGTATAGAGTGGTGATAGAGATGACACTGCACACACAAACACATTACAATATAGATTTTCTTTCTTTCTTAATTTGACATATCATTTCTAAGTGACATCATATCTCACCAGCAAGCCATAGTGGCCAGCAGAGCAAAGACGCTTATCTGGAAGACTTTATGCCGCAGGCACCGTCTGTATTTGTGACTTTTCTCCTCCCTTTGCACTTTTTCAGTCTTACATGCATCAGGTATTGATGTTGTCGACATGCTGCTGTGTTTCTGAGGTCTCCTGTTAGAAATAACATAAACACTGCTTCATTTTCAAATCACAGAATAAATTTTGCAAAAAAAAGGAAGAAAATTAAAACTCTACTCCTGCTCCTGAAATCCATCCCTCCACATGCTTCTTGAAGGATGGAAGATAGAGCTCCTTTAAGATTATAACAATAAACTCTATTTATTTGAATAGTGATGAGTGTATTCATGACATTTAGCAAAGTTAAGAGGTTATTTTGTACAGAGGTGAACGACAGTCCTTCAACTTTCTTCAGGGATATCGGCTTAAGGTACTACTATATACATTTCTTAAGATGCCTTTCAACTATCCCAAGATAAGACCTGAAGCTATAGTAACTGATCCCTTGGATGTTATATAATCTGTTACCTGTGGTGATTTCTTGTCTATTAATGCCTTTCAGTGTTACCCACAGTAGCCTTCAGAAACTCATTTGTCCTTGACCTGTGCTTTGCACTGATATAGTACAGTAATGTTGCAATAAAGATTTCATGAGTCATTTTCCATAGTGCTATATACTTTGTAGTATGACTCTGCCTTTAGACATAACCATAATGGAGTTATTTTAAGAGAAATTATGAAATGCATCCTTTTAAATATTAGATTTCCTTTAAAGGGTGCATTTTATGATATTGTAATATTCTGTTTTGATCCATTTTAGCATTCAACAACTTGTGAAATTGAACTCATGAATGTAACAGTTAAGAAGGTTTGCTAAGACAAACCCTTTCACTTAGTTGAATGGAAAAGGTTTGCTTGACATTTTTGCAAATGTATTAAAATAAAGAATACAAATATTACAAGTACATACATAACACTCAAAATTGAGCTCAAGTGCATCATGTTTCCTCTGATAATATGTCAGATGTTTCTGTAAATCATTTGGAGTCCACCTGTGGTAAATTCAGTTGATTGGACATGTCTGCATAAGATCTGATAGGTGAAAGTGAATGTCAGAGCAAAAATCAAGCCATGAAGTCCAAGAAATTGTTTGTAGACCTCTGAGATAGGATTGTATCTAGGCACAGGTATGGGAATTTTTACAAAGAAAGGTCTGCAACACGGAAATCTCCAGTGAACACAGCGGCCTCCATCATTCAAAAACAGAAGAAGTTTGGAACCAACAGGATTCTTCCTAGAGCTGACCACCAGCCAGTCTAAGTAATTGGCTTAGAAGGACCTTAGTCAGGGAGGTGACCAAGAACTCAAGGGTCACTCTGGCAGAGAGCCTTTGTTCCTCTGTGGAGAGAGGAAAACCTTCCAGAAGGACAATCGTTTCTGCAGCACTCCACCAATGGTGATGAGTGGCCAGACAGAATCCACTCCTCAGTAAATGGCACCTGAAGGACGCTCAGACCATGAAAAACAAAATTCTCTTTGACTTGAATGCCAAGTGTTTTCTGGAATAAACCAGGCACTGCTTATTACCTGGCCAAAACCATCTCTACCGTGGTGGTGGCAGCGTAATGCTGCAGAGATGTTTTTCAGCAGCAGGAAGTGGGACACTATAAAGGAGTAATGAAAAGATGAATGCACTGTATAGGGAATTGGTGAAAACCTGCTCCAGATCACTCTGGACCTTGGACTGGGGTGAAGGGTCATCTTCCAACTGGACAGCGACCCTAAGCAAACAGCCAAGATAACAAAGGAGTGGCCTCAGGACCACTCTGTGAAAGTCCTGGCCGAGCCGACTTAAACCTCATTAAACATTTCTGAAGAGATCAGAAAATGTGCACCAACACTCCCCATCCAACCTGATGAAACCGAAGAGGTTCTGCAAAGAAGAATGGCAGAAACTGCCCAAATATAGGCGTTCCAATATTGTCCCATCATACTCAAAAATACTTGTCAGCCATTTTGTGCTACTCTTTCAAGAATTATTGAAATACAAAGACTACTTCAATTTAAGACTGAAGAATTCACTTGGATGAGTGACAAAACATTTCTCCCACTGAAAACGCAACATCCAGATGAACAAAACGAAATTTCCTTACCTGGATGATTGGGCATGCATCAATACATTTCTTGGGTTAACTCTGTCTAATATTAGATTTTGTTTGATCATCTGAAATATCTGTGAACAAGTGTGGCAAATATGCTGAAACTAAGAAATCAGGAAGGGGTAAAATGCTTTCTCATACCACTGGAAGTGGTTCTTCCATGGCTAGGGCTGTTCTCCCTGATAGACACAGCATTTGGTGATGTGCATGGCTTCAAGACTTCAGACTGTCATCGACTGCAAAAGATCTTTATCGAAGCAGAACAATCCTTATCCGTTTGAGCCTCACAAAATGAATACTGTGTATGAAAGCAGCTTAACACAGTTTTGTTGAATCTCCTAAACCTGAATTCTTCACACAAGAAGTGTGTGAAAAAGTGTCATTCTCTGAATACATATGGATGTAACTCTAAGTGATAGATGGATGAAGGTAAATACCCAGTGGATCGTAGGCTACCCGTCAGACTCTTCAGCTTTGCCAGTCGACGGTTCCAGACCTCAAGTTCGTTGATACGAGTTTCCAGGTTGTCAGTGAGCTTTGACAGCTGCTGCACTGCGCCCACATTTTCCATGAAGATCTGCTCCTGGAAGAGGAGAGGGAGGGCGTTAGTGTTGGTTGCTAAGATCACTGCAGGATGTAGTTGTCAGGCAACCATTATACTTTCAAAATGTTATCTTAAATGTTTCTTCTAATGACAACCATTTTTTTCCTTGTGTTGTGTGTGCATGCAACCAATGTAAGATTTGAAAATCACTAAAGTAACCTAAATTTGGTTGTATTTGAAGAGTAGCATAAATGTAGAGTATCATTAAAAAAAACCCCAAAAAACCCATATATATATGTATA